CCCAAACACCTAACGGGATTGGCAGTGGATGAAGCAAACCCGGTGTTTTGGTCTCGGGGTACCTTGTTGCGCCGGCAGTCGTGACAATTGCGGACATAGCGTCGGATGTCGACCTTCATATCCGGCCACCAGTAGTCCTTTTGTACTGCTTTAATGGTTTTATTTTGTCCCCCATGCCCGAAAATTGGAGGTGCATGCCTGTCCCGAATGAGTGCTGTACGCAGGAAAATTTTGCCGTCCCGTGTCTGTTCTGGTACAAACATTTTGCCATGCTGGAGGCCGAGCCACCTCGGCTCCAGCACCATCGGCGTGGACCCTTCGTCCATGTTTTATCACGCCAATATGCAGGCGTACACGGCCAGCAAAGCCGCCATGAACCGCATGGCTCTTGTCTACGCCCGCATCTTGAGCGACGTGGGGGCCGTGTCAACATCGCCGCGCCGGGTCTTGTCAACACCGAGCTTACAAACTTTAACCCCAACGGCGTAACAGTCGAAGAAGGCGCGCGGCGTATAGTCGGGCTGGCCGCTCTTGGCGAAGCCGGGCCATCGTCGACATTTTCAGATATCAACGGGCCACTTCCATAGTGAATCGACCCGAGCGAGCCGGTGATTCTGGCCGAAGGAGGAACTTGGAATCTTTTGTTCGTTGTGCTGCAAACCACATAATTGCAAATAAAGCAAATTTACGCGCGGGCAGTCCAATACACGTGGTTCCGGTCTAGTAGTTGCTATGCAGTGCATAGCTAACTTGCCATGCTCGTGTCATCCGCCCCCACGGCGGCCAAACAGACATCGCTAATGCGTGGGGGCTTTCCACCATTCTCGTTTTGGCGGGAATGTCCAGACATGATCAACAACATAAATACCATGTGATTGGTGGTTGTAGGCGTTGATGACATTATAATGCCCTATCTTGGCAGCTAAATCCAGGAGGTTAAATTCACCACCACCAACTGTAGCTCCACGCAGTTTTCCTAGTTGGAGTTGCTTACGCTTGAACTGCATTCATCTAGGTGCGAGACCGCGTCTCGCAGCCACCCGCACGCTATGTATCCGATCATTGTCAACCGCGAACGTTGGGTCCTGCTTGCTACCCCATAGGATATAACGAGCCTTGGATTATCTGCCAGCTTCGAAAACCCTACCGCCCCGACGCTGGCAGCTAGACACAAACTTTCAAGCCCAGGCTGTTTAAAACAAGGGGTGTGTAGGCCGAAGCTGGTGGCTCGGCTTGCAGAAGCCATTAACTTATCAGTCCCTAACAAGCACTGTCCTACCACTGCGGGTGACTGCCCACGCCCAAATCTGGCACGTCCGGCGTGGCGAGGAACCGCACCACGGACTAGCTGCGGTATCTCCCGCTTCTTTCCAACACGCCCGTGGGGTTGTAGGTTCCGCCAAGCGAGGCGGACCGAAACACGCCGCGCCGTTCCCACCGTCCTCCGTTCCCTCAGAAGGTTCCCCGAGCCCCAGGGACCGTGGAAATAGACAGGTTACTTAAGATGGTAGGAAAGCAATATAAAAGAAAGAAAACCCACTCCCGTCCCAGTCAAAAAGGTTCCCTAAACAGCATCAACCCGCATTCAAGCCATCTTATCGACCACGTATTGTCCAAAATGAGCTACCAGAGCTTCCAGACGCTCCAGCCCGCTTTTAAAGCCCTGGTAATTTATATCCCCTCTCTTGAGTGATCATCCATCTCTACTCGGCGCTGACTCTAGCAAACACATAGGGTCATATCGGTGGGGGTCAATTTCCCTGCGGGCAAATACACTCCGGGTGTACCCTTGTCATGGTGCCTCTCACTGGCGGCTACATCAAGTCGGTCGAAGGCTTCGATTTCCAGCTAGATATGGAGGTAAAGGGTGGCGAGGACTGGTTCGAGGTAGACAACGACATGAAGACGGGCCGGCTTAAGATCGACGTCATGGCCTCGGACGCCGAAGGCCGCTGTCTGCGCTTCATCGTCGACGGTCTCACCCCCATCCCTGAAAACATTAATGCCTTGCTGGCTGGCGACCCGAACGGCAAAACCAATGAATGGGGGTTCGGCGGTATGAACAACAGCTTCTTTTACACATATACTCACGACACTGCCAAAGTAGATGCTAACTTGCCACCACCCGCGGAAGCTGACGCCATCCGTATCCAAACAGGCCACCCCGAGTATAAGGCGCTCGAGGGCATGGTGTTTGCGGGCAGCCAGCGATTCAGGAAGCTCGAATCCGGTATGATCGCTGCCGAGGTTCACATCTCGCGCGTAATTCCCGGAACTGGGGACCAGTCCTAAAACATAATTGGAACGGCACGCCTTGATAACTTTCATTCCCTTGTGGGCGAAGTGTATGGTTGGAATGCACATAACCGGACGTTGAGGGGAACGTGGATTTGAGAAACTTGTGTAGCAACGGGGCAAAGTAAAACAACTGGTTTGATGCAGCTAGCCTTAACCGTGCGATTAGGTGCAGCGCCGTGATTTGTGTCGCGCATCAGGGTTTGTTTTGCGAATGGCAAGAAAAAGGGGGGAAAGGACAAGGGACTGTAGGACCGCAAAGAAGAGAACTGCAGGAGAGAATATAAATGTAGACGCACCAAAAGAACGCAAGTCATGGGAGAAAAATGAATTATGGTACTCCAGTGTTACCGCCTTTACTCTAGCTCTTTCGGTTTCGCCTCTGCTTCTATCAATAGCTCCGATCTTATTCGCTCGTGAGGGCTGAGGTCCTGAGCGGCGTCTAGGAGAATTCGAAGGGATTTCACCCATACAGCCATCTCTCGCTTGTCTTGCCCCCCGTTTCGGCTTGCGGACCCCATGGCCCGGACGCATGTCTGCATGGCGGTGGTGAGCGGCCAAACGAGAAACCGATGAAGCTGGTGGAAAGCTTCGCGTCGCTTTCCATCCAGGTTGCGGCTTAGCAAAGGTGCTTAGGCCACGTCGAAAGAGGCCGCTGCCGCTTTCGCCGACGCGTCAGCTGCCAGGGTGGTGCATAGTTTATCTTGCTCGGCCTTGCGCCGAGCGGCTTCGTGCAAGATGATTTCGACGGCGTCAAGGTTCGTCCGGAATATGAGTGAGACTGGCTCTAGCGATGAGGGGCCGCCGCCACCCTCGGTAGCTGGTGATTCTCCTCTGGAGCTACAAGCGCTGCTGCTGCTTCTGCTGGGGGAGGAAAATGGGTGCGGGTGGTTGTCGACGCCATCCTCACCGTCACCCCCGCTTTGAGTCTCGCCACCAAGATGATGAGAGAGCAGGCAGTTGCGGCAGTAGGCGATTGCCTTCTCGATACTGTAATGCGAGTCCCAAAATGCACCAGATATGGCATCGCCCTGCTGCCTCGGCCGGCGCGTGTGGTACAGGTACTGGCGGTACAAGAAGATCATGATGGTGTTTCCTACGAAACCAGACACTGGCGTCTCTAGCGGGACTCCGGCGTTGAACAGCTGCTGCATCGAAGGCATTGTGGCGCCCTCTGGCGAGCCCTCGACGTGGTAGTCTTTGAGGAAGTCGCTGGGGCCGGGCAGTGGGACGGCAACTTGCTTGTCAAAGGCCGGGTCGCAGTTGGGCCGCAGACTGGAGAAGCCGTCGAGAAGTTACAAGGCCCAGAAAGTGCGGCGTCGCCCCTCGGCCTCGCCGGCGGTGTGTGGAAGTCCCCAGCTAGCAGCGACGCTGCGTTGGGAGTGGCCATCCTCTGGCTAGTCAAGTCCCATCATCTTCCCAAGGCGAATGGCGCGGCCAAGCGTAAGCCAGGAGCGCGCGAAGCTGGGCTGCTTGAGCTCATATAAAGCGAGGAGCGTGCACGTCTGCAGCGTGTTGATGCCGGCCAGACACATGCCACTCTCCTCGCGCTCGCATTCGTCGAGTAGACTTCGAGCCCGCTCATAGTGAGACTCAGCCCTCCCGCCACGCCCACCGTGTTCGGCCACGGTGCAGGCGCCCAAAGCAGCTATGGCATTGGAAAGCACCTCGACGCCAAGCGAGGGCGGCGTCTGGGCTAGCTCTGCGTCTAGTCGAGCTCGGTTGATAATAGGCAATGTCGGATGGAAAATGTCGAAGAAGAGGTCATGCAGGTCCGACTCCGGCCCTGCCGTGGGTGGTGGGCTCTCGGCCGCCGGCGGTGTCGGTAGCATGTCCAGACACATGAGATCAAGCTCCATGCCGCCCTGTGCGCAGCCTCCGTCGGACATGAAGTGTGCCATGGCGTCTGGCGGCAGCGCGGGATCTAAGCTGGCGGCAAAATCAAAGTCGAAGGCCGGGTCGTGAGGAACTGCCATGCCGCCACTGGTACTACTCCATGCACTCGAGGTCGTCGACGCCTCTGGGGTGACCACCACGCCCACAAACCTACAAACAAAACATTTCCCATTCCAGGCGTTGGCTTAGGGAGGACTGCCATCACCGATTGTTTAACTATTTTCTGCGTTTGCTCTACTGTGGCGCGTGAACGTGGCTGATTAACCCGGACGGGGTTTTTTTTTTTAGGTTTATAAGTCGCTTGTTTACTTTGCGTTTTCTAACAATCGCGCCCTGGGCTGGGCATGCACACGAGGGGCCTGGGCAACCCAGCCCCCATTCTTCCCGCATTCCTCGCTGCTATTTTTATAAGCAAAGGAGCACCGACGTCATAGCACCGTCGCGCAGGATATCGCTGATTGGTGACCTTGAGGCACTGATCAAAAGGCATGGGCCTCCAGCAACAGGGTAGAGGCCAGCTTCGGTAGCACTCCATGGTTGCATGACTTTCCACGCTACCATAACGGGCCGCCTCGCTTTTTTTAACGGCGCCAAATCGGGATCGACCTTGTCCATGGTTTCTATTTTGAACGCATTTCCCTATGCGTTACCCATGTGCAGATCCCGGCGCTCTGGCCACCAGTAACAACCCCACGACTCGTGGGGAGGGCCCTCCGCTGTTTCGACACTCTCGCGTGGCCGCGGGTGATGACCATTAACGCTGCGCTCACAGAGGCCTACGGAGGTGTGAGGGTTAAATAATCTACTGTGGGTAGGTCACTCGTGAAGCGAGGGCAGGGCGGATTCGAATTGGTGCTGCGATTGATGTTGAAAAATAAATGTAGGCTAGGCCTTATTTGGTAGGGGCTGAACATGGGGTGCTCTTGGCGCTACGTCGAAAATGGCGATTTTTTTCGCCTCCTATCTCCGTAGGCTTAGATGCTTATTTTGGCAACCTATCTAGAATGTTTCCACCAGCCTAGAAATAAAAGCACCCATGAAGAACTACGACGGAGTATAAATGCGTGGCTCTCCAGCCTCCATAAGTTTTGTAATTTCCCTTTTCCACCACCACCTACCAGATTCTCAGCTTCTCCTCTCCTAACTATCAGCCACTTCATTTAACCACATTCTACTTTGCTTTCGATCCAATCGACTAGGCACTTATCAAGCCGTCCTCATCAAACCACCAACTTTCTCCCACCCATTAACGCTACCAAACAAAAATGTACTTCTCCGCCGCCGTCCGCACCGCCCTCCTGGCCCTCCTGGCCGCCTCCCAGGTCGCCGCCGCGCCTTTAGCCACCGACAACGGCGTGGCCGCCGTCCGCATCGCGCAGCGGGGCGTTTCCGCGACCGCTGCCGCGGCCGCCGCGCAGGCGCTCGCCTCCCGCGCC